AAATCAATAAACACCGATAAAAACAATTTATTCAATTTAAATTAATGTTTAAATGCTGAGCCCCAAAAAACATGATGTCTGTGCCTAAAACACCATGTTGTTTAATTCCCTATTAAAGTTTAAAGTAAGATATTCAATTTTTGTTGTAATTATTGTTTTTTCATGTTTTAATTGTTTGTTTATATGATAATAAAACAGGTCCTGAAGATGACAGTATAAAACTGTCGAAAGCTCGGCGAAAACCGTAAGGAAGTTTTCTCTGTTTTGACCTGTTCCGAAGATCCTCTGAAAAGACTTCAAATATAAATATGTTAAACAATAAATGGTATTGGCAAACCTTGTGAAGAACAATCTTTTCTGAAAATAAAATAGCCGCTCGAATGTTTTTTGTTATTGCTGTAAAGACACTATTATTGCAAACAGCATTTTTTTCCAAACAGTTATTTTAGCAAAATTACTGTCAAGGCGAAAGATGGGATCATAAATTGTTTTCATTCACGTATGAACTTAAAAGAACGTTTACTACATACATAAAACCAAGAGGTACTGGGAATATGGTACAATTTATAACTTGTATGTTACATGCAAACTCTACATAGTTTCTATAGTACTTTGACATTGGTACTTTGTTATTTATGGTTTTATTTGTCGGAATTGGCAGGGATTTAATATTTTCCAATTTTGCTTCCAAAGGTGTCAAATCTGATGGGAGGTTGGAATTTTATTTTTTACCTCGTCCTCTAGCAGATATGAAACAGCCTCTCAATCTGGCCATTTAACGCGAGATGCGATGGCTCAATTTCAAAAACTGTACCCCGTCGAGCGGATCAAGCTCGGTGTTTTATACCCGAAGAGACTGGAAGGTGTAACGTCGGCGTCATAAACAAGCGTCGGGTCATTTCCTGACGACATTTCACCCGTTTTACAACACTCTCAGCACAGGGTATCTCGCCGAATCGAAGATCGTAAAAGAAGGAGTAGAAAGCTTTTTTCGTTCACGACCGCCGAGATTTTCCATGCACTCTATGACAGCAATTATCAGGAGAATATCGAAACAAGACAAATAAATAATTTATTTTTGACTATTCTAGTTTCATTTACCCACTCCTTTCAAAGTAATAATAAAAAAATGATAAATAAATAATCAATGTATTAAAAGGCTAATGATTCTAGAGTTCGGTCGAAGGTAGACATTACACAATCAACAATCAACAAACCGAAGCACCCAATCCCGTCGTCGACGGATTTTAACTGGGTTTCACATCCCCAAACAATTTATTCCATTAAAAGCCAAGTAGAGCTCTCTTAATCCTTTTCCGGCATTCTGACCGGCTTGGGACATGAATTGGGGGCCATTACTGCCTTTATTAACAATGGAAAGTGTCAGGAATATTGCGGCTGTTCTACTGCGCAAATATGTTCGAATAGCAAACGATTATTGGGCCCGGTTTAAATCATTTCTAAAAGAAATTTTGTTCTAGGATTACTGACTTTATTATTCCCGAGACAGAGCGAAAAATAAAAGGAGAGATATAACACGAAAAAAACTGATTAGTTAGTTTAAAAATTCCGGCATCCCCGTCCTTAATTTTCTCCTTGTTAGTTGAAAATCCGGAAATCCACACAATACACAAATCAGTGTTTCACACGACTAAAAATGTTAAATGCAATAATTGCACTAAACATCACAATAACCACTAGAACCAAACAACCAAATAATTCCGAAATTTTTTAAGTACAAAGAAACTGACAGAATACACCTTCTGAGATAGAAGATACAAAGAAGCATAGACAGTAAAAGTGATAAAGATTATTATGTTTTAATTAATCAAAGTTATGTCTCCTGAACTTTCTACTAACAAGAATATAATTACAGAGAAAGGGATGGTAATGATGAACATTTTATTTATGAATCATACAAGATTTATTTATTTCTTAAGTCCGTTCTAACATCTAATGAGAAATGCAATATACACCTTGATTTAATCTGCTTCTAACTCATTAAACATTAATTATTCCAAATAAGCCCATATATGTAATTAATACATATTACATCAATACATATTTTATTTTTACATTGAACTACATAAACATTTAACAATTGTATGATGGAGAGAGGGAGAGAGAGAGAGAGAGAGAGAGAGAGAGAGAGAGAGAGAGAGAATGTGAATGTGAGTTGGAGTTAGAGTCTTAGAGAGAATATCTCGACAGATAGACCCAGCCAGAGGGAGAGTGAAAAAGACAGAAAGAGAGATGATGATGAGGGTGAGGGTGATGAGGATACTAGGAAGCGGGATTTGTACTCCCCAGGGAACTGCAGCCTTCTGGCTTTTTGTACTTTTCTACTTCTCTAGTTCAGTGCAATCGATTCAATCCTTCTTCTCAGAAGTATTCGATCATTGACCTTTGCTGCAACAATTTCATTCCCTAGGTTTTTTCTGTAGGCCGTTGCTTCGCATTCGGAGATGATATGGGTGGCTGTTTCTTTCTCCTCATTACATAATCTGTAAATCGGATCATAGTTATATACGCCCATGTTTTGTTGATGTATATACTCAGATGCCAGCGACCGGGTAATAGTCCTATTACTCCTCTGAATCTGGCCCTATGCAACTGCAGCAGTGATTTTGCCAATCTTGGACACACCAGCCATGCTAAAAGCGGAAGTGAACGAATAGTTTAATAAATGCTGTACAAAATCACGAGGTACAGTTAAATCAAAGAAATTTCTCGAGATTACAACTAAAAAGTTATAAATCCAATCTTTTTTAACAGGAAGGAAAGAAATTAATAAACCTTTATCATTACTTATTAGATTTCAACCTTACAAAGGGATAAAAATTCAAAAAGAAAACCGATGACTGTGCCATGAAATAACAGTGTTGAGGATGATGAAAGCATGCCTAGCAAGCTGGGATTTGGCTTTTTGTACTGTTCCTACTCCCTTAATTCAGTTCAATTGACTTGATCTCATTTTTAAAAAGAAGTAAGACATTGCTTCCAGTCTCTTGCCATCGGTTGGTATCTCTACCTTGATGGCAACTAGGTCTTTAGTCATGAATTCTGAAAGACAGAGATAATTAGTGTTTTCCTAATCAATATACATGCACGTGGATTATCCTGTCTAGAATCCCATACAGCTTTACTGTCTTTGCTGGACAAACCTCTAATTTGTCCTTTCCACTGCCAAGGTTCGTTGATGAGAATTGCCCATAGATGTTGCGCAGTGAACATCCTAGCTATTACTGCCGAGACAGCTTTAGCGTGATGGATGTTCACCTGGGCTATTCTCATTTTCTTCATGTAGGGTTATTCTTTTGGGGGAGGAGGAGATGTCTCCTCTCCCAATAGCTCCTCCTCGGTGAGCATTCTCGGCTCTGTCTGTAGAGGAGGAGGGGGTCTGGGTTCCTAGGATGACCTGGTCAACTTCCATCTTGGCAGTGTTTTCGGAGTTAGTCTCGGTGGGTGGAGGCATCGCTGAACACAGATGGATCTAGAACACAAGAAGGTACAGGGGCAGGAGTATTTGGACCTGAAACCAATTACTCAGAACCCATGGGAAAATACACCGGTATCTTCCAAGCTGAGATTCATGCAATCGAAAGATGTACCCAACTCAACCTTTGTAAAGGGTGCAAAAACAAGGATATAGCTATCATGTCAGATAGCCAAGCAGCCATCAATGCACTATGATCAATTATCATTAGTTCAAGGATGGTGCTGAACTGTAAAACCAAACTAAACATATTAGTTATGCAGGATAAAGTCAGTCTCTGCTGGTCCCAGGACACATGGGAGTAGAAGGCAACGAGAAAGCGGACATCCTTGCAAGGAAAGGGGCTGCCACACCGCTGATAGGACCCGAACCCTTCTGTGGCATAGGAATCCACACTATTAACGAATATCTCAGACAGAAGGAGAAAAATAAAATGAAGGAACTATGGAATTCACTCATTGGACACAGTCAATCCAAGAATCTTCTAACCAATTTTGGAATTTTGGAAGGAAATAAATTACAGAATTTATCAAGGGAAGTAGGAACAAACTGCGAGTGCTAATAGGATTCCTAACAGGACACTGCAAGTTAAATGGACACATAAAGAAAATTGGAATAATCCAAGATGGCACACGCAGATTCTGCTAAGCGGCAGAAGAGTCACCAACACATCTACTAGCAAACCGCGGAGCTACAATAGTGCGCAGGAGGAAATGTTTGGGGATGTATAATGCGACCATACAAGAGCTTCAACCATTGAAACCGGGCCTATTAATCAAGTTTCTTGATGAAATAGGACTCACCGATGTGCTTTAGGCAGAGCACGGGGGGTACAATAGCTCTTAAAGGGCGCGGTATACTATACCCTGAAACTATATCTACATCTACCATTGAAGCAATGATTTTCCCGGGTCTTTTTGTTAACTTCTTGCACCATTGTGTGGTTGCTTTCGAAGTTGATGTGGCAGTTTCTTCCACCTCATTTCATAACCTATAAATAGGATTAAATATATTCTTGTTGTTTAGGTTTTTTCTCAGTTGGTAATGGCCCGTTTTTAAAACCTCCTTATCACCCAGACAAGATTAACGCTTAGTGTAATAAAAAAAGAGGCTACTTAAGGATGAAGCATTTTCTTGAGTAATATTTGTTTTGTTTTTAAATATAAGAAAATAGAAATCATTGCTGACTCTTTTTTTATTATAATACCATAGTAATTATATGGCAAATATAATATTTCATTGTTAGTTAGAGAAGGCAGGTAATTGCATCACGAAATTCCTAACCTATATTGAGGATATTTTGTCTTTAACCTTGCTATCATACGATTGAATGTTAACTATTGAAAATAAGTCAATAGTTTAGTGCGAGGAAAATCGCGACCTCCAGAAATAACAGGTTTATTGGGAAATACAATTATTCATAACCACCTTAATCGAAAGTAATTTATCTTGCAACACGGCACGACAGGTTTGTGAAGTCATTGTGAATCACGACTTCGTCAAGTCAAACGTTTTCGACATGGACTTTATTTTCAAAACTTCTAACAGACTCATCGTAGCTTTGTCCTGCGAGGGTCGGCTGAGAATCTTCACTCTCCAAAGGGTTTTACTTAAAATACTCGGATTCGAATGGTGGAAAGGTTTTTATCATTGATCTTATGATTATTAAAGAATTGATATCCTAATAAACTATCTTTTTTGAACTAGAAGATATATTTTTCTTTTATAATTTTAAAACTATACAGAGTGGCCGATGTTTTTTCTCCACCAACTTTTAATGATCGCAAATTCAAAACTAAATAAAATACAAATATTTCATGGTTTCTGATATTTAATTTGGTGAAAACTAATATATTTTGTTATCTAAATATTGAAGAATACACCAATCACCTTTATTTTACATGTGACCCTATTAATTCCACATTTTTAATAGTGTTTAGTCTCCTGAAAACATCAAAATTAATTTTTTTAAATAAAATCTTTCAACGTTTATTTTCAATTTTATGTGAGAAACAAAATTCGAATGAAAAAATTGTGTGTCTAAATTACCTGTCTTTTAAAGAAACTGCTCAAACGGGACAACTTCACTGGCTATACAAGCTGAAGCTCTGGTCATCCATGCTCTGTTTGTAGCAGTTCTAGGTTTAGGCAGAATAAGGTTATTGTTTTCAGATGGTCTACGGAAGTTAAGGGATCACGAAATAGTCCATCGGAGTAGGTCTGCTGATCGAGGTGGTCATTGCATTGAACATCGTGACAAGCGGGGACACACTTACCTGATGCTACCCAATGCAAATCCAAAGTCAATTTTTTCGTAAGACTGTATTACCCCCGTGCATATCTTCCCGATGCCACGCAACGCTACTCTACGCTACGACAATCCCGACTGTCCAGATTTTCGCCGAGTAGCATCGAGTACAGTAGAAGACAAAAGAACCAGACATTATTTTTATTTCAAACTACAATATATGTATTTTTTTTCTTTTTTTTTACTGGGGCTTCCGATATCTAGGTCATTTCAGCCCCCAACTATGTCTATATTCTATTTACCCTTTCAAACACTACATTCATACAAATAAATACATTCATACACATAAATATATCCATACAATACACTCATTCCGTTTGGTCGGTGGAGTACTTGATATTCCTTCACCGACCCCGAACACACACTCTTACGCTCTCATCGTTCGAGGGGTGATGATGACGTTATATTTCACCCTCCCCCCTCGCCATTCACGCTAATAAATACATGCACTCAGACAAAACATATAGACACACAACACATAAGACATACTATATACTATATAGCTATGTGTTATCGTCGTTATATTACAACATACTTATTTTAATATAAATCAAATTAAGCGAGATCAAAAATTCATTAGTTTTTATTTTAAAAAATTAATTTTTACGGTTGGGCAAAAAATCTATCAAAACACCGGAATAACTTTATTTAAAATAATTAAATTTTCCTAACAATTTATTACATGATGGTGCTTTAAACGCTTTAAATTTTCTCTAGTTTTATCAAGGTAAATTGTTATAACCCTCGCATTATGTGCCGGGACATCAAGAATCATGGACCAATGACTAGTTTTTGTGGGGGCTTGTGTAGTCAGTGATGATCCCCGTTTGAACAGTTTCTTTTTTTTATGTTTTCAGAAGACTAAACTCTATCAAAATGAAAATGTGGATAAAAGTAATAGTGTCCCATTTGAAGAAAAAAAAATTGATTGGTATATTCTAAAGAAAAAGGTTTTTTGGGAAAAATCAATCTGTGTTAGCCAAAGTAAAGTACATCATACGCCATAAAATATACGTTTTATTTGCCTTCATAAAAAGAAATTGGTAGAGAAGATAATGTCTGTAATCTGGAAATACATTTTTACTTATTTTGCTCAGTTATTTTTTTAACATTTGTCGATGTAAAATTCATTATTTATATCTGCATAATGTTGCCCTTGTCTTTTCAGAAGGCTTAAATTTTCCTCTCCCAGATTTCATGAAAAAGTGGGGATATCAGGCATTTTGGGTGATTTTAATGATTTGTGATATCGTACTGACCCTTAAAGCCAGTGTGTGGATGGCCATCGACAACGATTTAAAATACACAATTAAAATGAACGGGATAATTGTAATGATGCCTTTTGTAGGTTCCTTAATCAAAATATTTTACCTACGTTATATGCAGAAAGAAGTGAGTAACACTGTCACGGAAGATTTTTATTTTACTCGCTAATTTTGCATTTCAGTTTATTGAGCTGATAGAAACGTGTGAAAGCATCGGCCACCTGGACATGGAAGAAGAATCGATACAATCTGGTTTAAGGTTGAACTTTGTATACATTAACATGCTCCTTTCTACTGTAGGGATTTGGGCGATATTTTTCACCATCATAAACCATGAAATTCCAGTAGCGACAGATTTCCCATGGTCTCAGGACGTTGCCTTGGGCCAGTTTTTCAGTATACAAATCGAATGGATTGTTTTATAATCAAATTTTTATGTTAACAACATTTTGTCCTAGGCTTGATGATTGACTTCTACTGCGGCATCAATTGCTGTTTGGCCCATTCCTTACTTGACACTATATTTCCAGTATCTGCAATCGTTATCATAGCCCATTTGGCTACTCTGAGAAAAAAACTCGCCAAATTGGGTTGCAACAAATATCAAGATGAAGTTTTGTTAAACGAATCGATCGAACTGCACAACAAATTATTGAGGTAGTTCATGCTATTTAAAATAAATGAGAAATAAAATTTTAATAATTATTTATTAAAGTATGAGCGAACTCCTGCAGATCTGTTACAACGAGGTGTCAGTCGCCCAGTCTCTTTATTCCGTCATGCACTCCTGCGTCCTCATATTTGCCGTTGAACAAGTAATTTCTACGTTTATAATTTATTTCATTAAACTACAATTGATTTCTTAATACAATGAAAATTTTATCACCCTTAATTTGTGCAATTACTAGGCAAAATCCTTGTATAATAACTGTAACGAACTCCCATCTTGGAAAGCTTCTTTCATTCCATATAATTAAATCATGGTCCCACGACATCACTCAACCATTCATCAATGACCCAGTGTGGATTGCATCATTCCTTGAAGGGAAGGTATATATAGGATGCTTTCCTAGACGTGAGAAATTGAGTCTAGCATACAGGCTTTCTCTGGAAACCCTTTTTCCTTTCTTATTTTACCTCATCTCAAAATCCTATCTGGGAAGGGGCCTTTCAAGTGCGAATCGGAACATCCCCAACGCAGCATCCTTGATCCCACTCTTTTCCATATACACTTCAGTCATTCCTTTCAACCTTGATATCTAACTCCCCACATATACCCTTAAAACCGCTATCTTTTTCAGTAAAATAATAAATATCTCCTGTTCTGATGAGTCGATGAAGAAGTTTACCATCCGCTGTATCAATTCACTTCTAAGATACCATTTCATTCCTTTTCCTGAAATCAATGCAGTCTAATATTTGGGACTTTATATCAACAATTGGTTTACTTCCAAACACTACACCGAAAATAGAAGTGAAAATAATATTTGACAATGAGGTTCAAAAAGCGTTCTTTTTACAAACTGTCCAATGATTCCAATCAAGAATCCGTTCTACCATTGCCCAACGACCAGAGGTAGATAAAGAATGAAAGAATGATAAATGAAGACATGATTTTTCATAAATTTTCATTCCCTACACCCTTCCAAGACGGCTTAAGCATTAATGGTCTAACGATTTTCTTCCTATTAAGGAATGTGATGTGATACTGATTTATGTAGGGAGAGGGATACATAAAAATATTAAAGTCTTATTAGTCTGCTTAACGCTCATAACCTCAAGAACCTTCTCTTTTGTTTGGAACAATGTTTTCTTCATCCTTTTTCGTATCCTCCCCAATTTACAACACTATTCTCTCCCATGTCTACGTCGTCTGCTATTTCGGTATTTACATCGACAAAAGACTTCAATTTCACGCACTCGACCTGAAATAATAAGTCCAAAGAACAACATAACTTGGAAGTTAAAAAACGACTTGAAAAGAAATTGATACTCTAACTTAAAACAAACGCCTCTTCTGTGCGTGCGCAATAAAACTTTGGGGTTCAACCAAGGAATCCGATTTTCAGAGAATCCAGTCGTTCCATTCCAAAGTCCTACTAACTATTGCTCAAGCAACCTGCTTTATATGCAATCTTATTTTCCACACAGACTTCAAAATACAAAATACCACAAGTTGTCGGTACAGATGATTTCAAAAAGTATAACTTTCATCCCAAAACCTTCCCGAAAACCCTCTAAAACATAACTGAGAAGTTCACTAATTTCGTGGTCCGCTTGATCAATTAATATACTACAATTAATTAAGGTTTTTAGTTGAGATAATTTTTTTAAAAGTCAATGGCACGAGCGGGATTCGAACCCACGATCTTCGGTAGATACGCCGCTGCTCTACCATTTGAGCAATCGTGACCTCGATCCACTCGGACACCAACTTTCTATCTCAACCCCACCTTTTGAACTTTCTCTCCTTTTTGCCATTTTTCAATTAAATAAACCTTCACTAAAGCTCTCCGTGGCCATTTCATTTGTAGGCGAGAATACAATCCGATTACACGACATTTGAAAAAGCGCAAAAAGGAGGGAAAATTCAAAAGGTGGGTTTGAGATGGGAAGTTATTGTCCGAGTGGATCGAGGTCACGATAGCTCAAGTGGTAGAGCAGCGGCGTATCTAGCCGAAGATCGTGGGTTCGAATCCCGCTCGTGCCATTGACTTTCTTATCTCAACTAAAAACCTTAATTAATTGTAATATATTAATTGGTCAAGCGGACCACCAAATCGACGAAATTGAAATGTTCCATGGAAACAATAAAAGCATGTATTTTCGCAGCTTTGGAGAATGTCAATGCGCGGCACGACCTGATCAAATTTATTTTACGCATTTATCGTGACAGCTATAAAACACTCTTTTTCATACTCTGTAAATATCCTCTTGTGTTGTTTGTTCTAATGGAGGATTTTTAGTCTTTTTCACAAATAAGATTTTCCTCAATTTAAGTAACTTGTTTACTTACTTCTTGTGAATGTGGTTGATTAGTGTTAGCACTGAAAATTGTCGAAGCTGTAACATTGAAGTTGTATTCAGCTTAAAGTTCTTGCACGCTTTCAAATATTACAAGAGTTCTTTAGGAATGAGAAAGTTGTTATTGGAAATTTATTTTAAATAATTAATTTGTTTCCTGCCAAAAATCCTATTAGGCATATGTACATTAACTTTAGTTTCATTCACTAATTTCGTGGTCCGCTTGACCAATTAATATATTACAATTAATTAAGGTTTTTAGTTGAGATAAACAAATCAATGGCACGAGCGGGATTCGAATGGAAAAATGGCAAAAAGGAGGGAAAATTCAAAAGGTGTGGTTGAGATGGGAAGTTGGTATCCGAGTGGATCGAGGTCACGATAGCTCAAGTGGTAGAGCAGCGACGAATCTAGCCCAAGATCGTGGGTTCGAATCCCGCTCGTGCCATTGACTTTTTAATCTCAACTAAAAACCTTAATTAACTGAGAAACGTGAACAGTGGAATACAAAATTACAAAGTTTGTTTATATTGCTCTAGCACTGTTCTACATACTAATAATAAAAATAAAAGTACTTTAATCTGCAGGTTCCAAACAAATTCTCAGTATTGGTGAGTTCATTTCCTTTGCTGCTGTGCTCTTACGCACAACTGTGGATGTACTGCTCTTTTGGACAGATGATGACGGATGAGGTACATCTTCTGTATTTATTGTTTTAAACAACTACAACCCACCTTTTTTAGTTTGACAAGATATCTTTCGCTTTGTACAACAACCGATGGTACGCGTGTAGCATCTCTTCGAGGAAAGCTCTTGTGACTTTTGCACAAGCCTGTCAGAAAAAGGTGGGGCTCAAAGGCGTCGGCAACATCAACGCGTCTTACTCTAATTTTCTTCATGTGAGTAAACGTCGACATTATCAGTTCGATTAGATTTCATATATTTTATCTTTTTTCAGAAAATTCAAGATTCTGTCTCGTACTACTTGATTTTAAAAACAGTGACGAGTGAAAGCGATGGAGAAAAGAATTAGAAATGTCAATTAAATCATGTTGCACTTCAATTGCCAGTGATTATAGTAATAAAGATACTTGATATCAAGACAAAAATCACCCTGCTTTTGTATGTAATTCAATTTATTAACTAATTATTTACCCTTAACATCAAATAAATGCTTGTTAAAAACTAAGGAAGGCGAAAGAAATCCTAGAAGCGGATTATAACAATGAGAAACTTGGGATTGTCGGAGAATATTAATATTTAGTAGTGACAATGAGTCCTAGCCCCTCCTACATGAAACATTTGCGACAAAATCGATGAAGGCCATGAATTAACATGTGGTGGTAAAGCATTCGCATAAAATTGTGGCACTAGATAAATAGATAGATAGGTAGATAAACATAATTTTATTCATAAATAAGAACATATTTTAAATTTAATTGTTTGGAGATCGTGAGGTGCAGTCTGTGTGACGTAGGTTTTAGAAAAACCTTTTCTTTATCATGCCAACGTTTAGTAATGTGTGTTGGGTGATGTTTCATCAAATATGAATCTTTAACTTGATCCATTCGGAAATGGCTCTATTTTTTGACAGTTGAAATTTTAAAGAAGGGTTCCTGAACCTACCAATCTCGTTGGGCATACATATTATTGCATCATACGTGCTTTGCATAGAGCGTTAAAATTGACAAATTTCAAGTCTAGATTTTGATATTGTATCCCACTACAGGCAAAAGTGCAATGTATCTGTTTTGTTACGTTGTTACGTAGCCCAGGTTTGGTGGTTACACTGCGATACTATGCGATGCGTGTGAGTGTTTATTCGGCGTACGTTGCAAAAATATGTGTACCCAACGAGATAGGTAGGTTCAGAAACCCTTTCTTTAAATTTTAAGCTGCCAAAAAATAGAGCCATTTCCGAATGGATCAAGTTAAAAATTCATATTTGATGAAACATCACCCGACACACATTATTACTCAAATACCCTCAGACAAGCTACGTATGCGGGGTGACCGATTTTAATGAAATTTTTTTTAGTAGTAGTAGATCAAAAATATTAGAACCTTTCCGAACATTCATGCCACAGTGCCTTAGTAGCATTTTTTTGAAGTAATAAAGCATTTCATTTATTTTAATCATTATTCTCTGGTTTTGATGTTTATGTATTTCAGTGTCATTATAAATCACTCCGTTCAATTTTTACCCAATTTAAGAAAATGATATGCAGTATCGTATTACATAAGAAAGAGAGAGAGAGTGAGAGAGAGAGAGAAAGAGAGAGAGAGATTTTATTTGTAACAACCATGAATTAGATATTACAATTGTCGAAAAATACATATTAAGCATATCAAATTACAACGTTATAAAATTATATGCAGTGGTAAATAAATAAATGTTTTACAATAAATCAATGTAGGATAAAGCAATCTATATAAAACTTTCTAAAAATTCATCTGCACTATGGAAGGCATGTGTGACTAGATATTGATAAATTACTTTTCTTAGCTTGTTTTTATCTTAGTATTTTAATTTGTCAGGTATCGCATTATAATATTTCACCATCCAATATTTTGTGCGACTTTCAGTCTGTTACAAGTGGTGACAAGTTTTTTTACAAGATTAAGTTACATAGTTATGTGAGGTAGTTACACATCTAATTTTATAAAAGTTATTTATAACATAAGTGATACACTTTAGAATATTGATACAGGGGAGAGTCAAAAGTTTTAAATCAATAAAAGCTTGCCTACAGTCTTCTCTATATTTCAGTTTTGCAATAACCCTGATTGCTTTTCTCTGTGTAGCAAAAACTAACATAAGATTTAAAGGTATTTAAAAAGTTAGGAAAACGAATAGGCGCATTCAGTAAAGAATTCCAAACAAACATTTTTGCCAAAAAAAAAAAAAAAAACAATTTGGATTATTTTTAAACACCTATTAAAATCTTTAAACTAGAAATTTTATAGCAAAAAAAGATAATTTTTGGGCTTGATTTGAATGGGGTAATCAATCTATTTTTTTCCGATGTAGAATGTTCCATTTCAAAATTCATAACCCTTCTGGATGTTATTTACGTTCGAGTTATTACGACTTTATAACATAAATAACATATGTATTTGCAAACAGCACGCATGGAAAAATGGAGCTGAATATACGGCATGAAAATGGGTAAACATTCCTAAGAAGAATCCAATAATTTCAGTCTAAAATCCTGAAAATTCTTTCCCAAGCTCCCTACACCCTTCCAACCTTACTATATATATTAATAAAGACGTTTCGATCCCAGTAGTCCTCAGAACTTCCATTATATCATGGATTTTTCTAGTTCAACACCTTTCAATTCGTACTTCTCTACATTATTCCAACACGCCTAAAGCACAATGCTATGGCGATCTTCATACCATGAGGAATATGACAGGGAATTGTGAAAAGAAGTGCATAAAACTTAAAGTATTAATTTGTCTGCTCTTCTGTAGTGGCCTCCAGCAACCAGCAGAACCATTTCTTCTAATTGGAATAATGCTTAAAATAGCAGGATCAGACTCAGCGATACCAAATCTCAGCAAATAACAATTCGATTATGCTTTTCTTCACCAACAACCAATTTTTGCCCCGATCAAATTCAACACCTCGTATACCGTTCAATTCCCTCATAAAAAATCAAGATGGATAAAGCAACTTAATCTTGCAATCACTGTCAATAATCAATGTCGTTATGTATTTGGGAATTCATATTGTCAAAAGACATCCTTGGAACCCCAACATTCGACGCGAAAGGATAGAATTGAACAGACGAGAACAAATATTTAAAAGATGACTTGAATACAGATCAGAGCTCTCATTAAAAAGCAAACGCCTTATATAACTAACTCAAGTGCTAGTACTAGAATAGTCAAATATAATTATTTTTAGTCAGCTTTTATACATTTAAGCCATATACATCGTTATTCTATAAATGTTTCTTATTTGTGCTTATCAAGAAAAAAATTTGTAATATTCATCTTTTTTGACAATGTTGAGGAACATGAAAGCATATTGGAGTACATACTTTTTGTTTGCTTATGTAATTCGATGTTTTTCTTCAAAATGTTTGAGTTTTATGTTTAAACCAAGTGAAAGACTGTTATTTGTTTTTAAAAACAAATTATTTACCGTATTAATGTGTTTTGTTTAACTTTTGTTTCGAAACAATGGGTTTGGGTGTGTCACATCGATCACCTTGTGAAAGAAAGGAGGGTTAAATAAAACGTTCTAGTGTGTTTGTGTTGATTTAATTATTACTCGGTTATTACTCCTCTCTTATAACGGAATAAAATCAAAAATTTCTTGATGAAGGCTGATAGACGAGAGAACGGAGCTTTCGAACGGTTGTAAGAATCTAGCATTTAGATAGAACATATATTCTTTATGATTTTTTCAGTACATGGGCAATAACGACTTTTACCAAAAAACATGTATACAAATCTTTAAACAGCATTTTTTATTGATATTTATATATACCTCTATATTGAATGAGGTGTTAAATAAAAAAAAAATGGTGTTAGTAATTTCAAATAAGGTAAAAGAAGAATGGAAAAACCGCTGGGCTCGGAAAAATAGGAATAACCCTGTCAAACTGTGGCAGGTTAAGAAAGACGCCGGTCCCTTGTTCACGGAAAATGGGTCAAAAAGGGAAAAGGTCATACTGATAAGACTACGCATAGGTCATACAAGAATTACGCACGGGCACCTTCTAGCAGGAAAGCGACCTCATAGGTGCCCATTATGCAAGTATAGCGTGACAGTCGAGCACCTTTTCAATTGTAGAAGGCTCGACGTTTATAGGCAATATTTTGGAATATCATCCGACCTGTGCGTAGTCTTGGGGCCCGGCAGCGGGCACAAATCGCTGTACCGGTACCTCAGGGCTATAGGGATTTTCAAATGTATATAGTTTATGTATGTTTGCGCTGTGTTTGTGTTGTGTCTGAAGTGTTTGTGTCGTGTTTGTGTGGTGTTTATGTTTATACACTAGGATGAATGTAATTTATTTGCGTGAATGGAAGGGGTTATTTACCCCGCCCCGAGGAATATCGAGTACTCTAGGGTGAGTGTGTGATGTCTGGGGAGTAAAAGTAAGATATTAGCGCGAATGGAGTGGGTTCGGCCCCGCCCCGAGGAATATCGAGTCCTCTGGGGGATTGAATGTGACCAGACTTTTATGTTAGTATTGTATGTTGTTTATATTTTACTCTGTTGGAATGAATGTAATTTAAGCATGAAAGGAAGGGGTTATCTACCCCGCCTCGAGGAATATCGAGTACTCTGGGGTGAGTGTGTGACGTCTGGAGAGTAAAAGTAAGTTATTAGCGCGAATGGAGTGGGTTCAACCCCGCCCCGAGGAATATCGAGTACTCTGGGGGAGTGAATGTGACCAGACTTCTATGTTTGTGGCGATATATATGTTATGTATTGTATGTTGTGTATCTATTCTTAAATTGACAACCTGAGGTACTAACAAGAGGCTAGCTTTTTAAAATAACGACGTAATATACAAGTAAAAGCAGAGAGTCAGTAACCAGATTGAGATGCTCAAATGGCTGCAGTTCAATATAAAATACGCGAGAAAGACAAGAAATAGAAGGAATACACGCGGAGGGCCGGCGATGACCTCAGCTGTTTGTCGGCCCATAAACCTTCCACTTTGTATTGGTTGAAATGAAAAATCGAGTGGGATTCGAACCCGCGGCCTTTATTTAAACCAAGACATTTCATACGAAGAATAATTAATTGAAAGAAGTAATTTGGTCAATCGACCACTAAATATAATGGATTTAATTTCATTAATGTTTAATACATAATTGAGATATGTGAAATTGTTCTTCGGATATATCCACCCATTCATACAACTATCAGCCTGCTTATCTTCAAATCCTTCAATCAATATATCAGTATATGCTTACGATAGACCCTATTGGTAGTACTTGCAATTTGTTCCTCTAGCTGATAATAAGTCCAATTTTCTAACTAAAAAATTTTTGTATCTATGAATCGATCCAGAAATATACTAGTTCTGGAAATGGATTTGATAGAAACTTTGATTTAAATAAAATACTTTATTAATCAACTTTATAAATATTGGTTTTTCATAAATTTCAGGATAAGTTAAAATTAAATAAAAATGGGCGTATTGGTGTTGTTTAGCCTTCGGGCCAAACGGATTTTTCGATCCAGTCCAAGTAGTAAGAGACCCTCGTGTAAATTCCAGGCATGTTGGGCAAGCCGCAACTTTTTCCGAAAGAAGTGATTCCTATCTGCCTTTTTAAGCATTCTCCTGGCACCTCGATCATGAGAGGGCCGCCTGAATCGCCCTGTAAAAATACAAACAATGAGAAATTTTTATACACATAAATATATTTTTTAAGATAAATTTTGGCCTTTATTTACCGTACAAGCGTCCTTTCCACCGTCCTTCTCCCCTGCACAGACCTGTGACAAAGGGTCGATCCCCCTTGGCGTTCTTTGAGCGCCCACTTCTCCGTAAAGTCTCTTGCATTCCGTCCCGTTGACTAAACTTATTGAAACTTCTTGAAGTGTTTCACTGAACAATCCGGCTAAAAAATTCATGGTTTAGTGTTTGGTAAAACCAAATCAGCATGAAAAATAGTAAATGGGATAGGAACATTGAACGCTCCGTTGTGGTACCCCAACTTAGATTGGTGAAATTTTGAGCAGTAGTTACCCTATCTCATTCAGGGGTCATATAAATAAAGTTTTGACGGTCAACGTAGATTTCGGTCCTAAATATTAAATTGTGTAGGCGTAGTCCTAAATATCTAATGTGAGAAGATGCCGTTAGCTCTTTGTTGGCAATGAATCTTAAAGGACATGTCTTTCAAAGAAAATGCACACTGGGAACTTTTTGCCTAAATCAGTGTTCTGCATTACATTTTGCACCAGTTTTTGATAAACCCAATGTATTCATATGATGCTTTGGGGTTTTGTAAGAAAATCAGCAGTATAAATGGAAAACAGGATGAGAACAAAAATGCTCCCTTGTGGTATCCCGGCTTGTATCGGTCTAACACTTGATTAATTGTTACTAAACTCACTCTGAAACATCGGTCAGTTAAAATGTACAATCACAATTCTATTTAAAAGTTAGAGGATGTCTAGGTGTCAGACTATCTAAAGGTACATACAGGAACACAACCATGTGGAAGGTATGCTCTACAAACTAAGAAACCAAATTACAAAACATGAATGATTTTATCAATCAATGGATGTTAGACGTTTTAAAGACTCTTTCGTGGATTGTAGATATCACAGAAAGAAAGCTGATGGGTCTATAGAAGGATATATGGTTGGGTCATTTGTTAAATTAGTATACGGGGAATAACGACAAAAGACTTTCTAAAAAGAAAACTCTTTTCTTTGCTTTATTTTTTAATTGTGTTTTTCCGTCTTTAGTTGTATAAAATTAGGTATGTTTATTCTTTACATAACTTTACATAATAAACCTCATTTTAAATACGTAAAGTAAAGGTATACTCCAATAAAAATCCAATTAGTGAAATTAAACTTTGTTATTGCAAAAATGCTGATTGAAATATTTAATTAACTCTTTAATATTGAACGCTGCTGAAAATAAAATGGAACTATAATTGAATTAAATTTTATTAAGTTCATTATTATTTATTGGGATATTGTTTCTGCGCTAATCCTGCATAGCTAGATGTATTACTAAATATTTAGATTAATATTGAATTAATGGAAAATCAATTTATGTTTTTGAAATTTTTCATACCGAATTCTACAGTCCCGAAGCCGGTCACGATCCCCTTTTTGGCTGGTATTTCTGTCTCTGTGTGGAGACAGACAGGAAGGACATACTCTGTGAAATCGACATCCCTGTCGAGCTTGTAAATAGCTATGTCATTGTAGACTGTTTCGGAATTGTAATCAGGATGGATAATCCATTCGATAATGAGCCTGTCCTGCGGCTGGGCGTCGTCCTTATTAGTGGACAGGTCCAGTTCTCCTAGCCTTGCCCATTTCGGTTTACCTCTGGTCAAATAGAAATGTAATACTTATTTATATTCTTAACAATAACAATGCAATCTTGACGTAAAAATGCATTTTCAAAATGACTTACAGTTTGGTCGTGGAACAATGTGCGGCGGATAAAATGTGACGTTCGGAAATAAGACTTCCTCCGCATTTCCATTGTACTTCCTTCATATTTTCTCCGAAGCCTATTAGAGCCTAAAAAATCAAATTGAATATAGTACAAGTTGTAGATTTTGATTATTCCACATGCGATGAGTTTTCAAAAATCAAAATTATCAATAAATCTCAAGCTTCGTTATGCGTTTATTGCCATGCATTGACACTTCTTTAAGAAAAAACCTTCTTTTCCGTCGAAAATCAACGGTCGAGGAGTTCTCGTCCGGATGTGATAGATGTTAGTGTGTGTTTTACATTCCATTCCATTCTCAGATCATATCACATAAAAGCCATTCTCTACATAGTGACAAATTTTCATGCGTTTTATATGTATTGTAACTGTAACTCCAATTCGTCGAAACATGGGCTGAAATGTCCTCATGACACTGTTATCCAGCATCTTTCTCTCACACATAATCTTTCAATTCCTTTCTCTCTCTAATAGTCTCTCTCTCTCTCTCTCTCTCTCTCTCTCTCTCTCTCTCTCTCTCTTTCTCTCTCCTCCTAATTATACCCCGAGTTCTATTATATACGTCTCTCTCTTTCTCACTCTCGTACTAATTCTTTCTTTTTCACTACCTCTTCCTACAGGCTATAGAAGATTCTCTCTCTTTCACACTTTATTTCATACATTCCTTTTCTTTACCTATTTCACATTGTGTGCCCATCCTCGCTGTGCTGGTATGAAATGATGCAAACCAAGCTTGGTAAGGATAAAAACTTTGAGTTTATAAAAATTAATAAAACCCATAATTGTTTTTTCAAGAAAAATGCTACATTTAGACGACTATTATTATCATAAGATGTTTCAAACTTTATTCATGGTTGCTAATTTTTGCGAAAATCTAGTCTCAGAAATGTTTAAAACCGTGGAGAACAATGATTGAAAACAGAGATATTTGTTTTTAAAGAATACATTTAATATTAAATAACTATGTCATCTGTGATAATTAAATTTTTTATACGTTCGACAAACTTTCAATTCATTCGAATCTAGAAGGTTGTGATTTGTATATTGTAACCCAAACTAGATCACTTACAATACGTGTTTCATTTTCAAAGATTAATAACTGAAAAATTACATTGTGACCAATATTATTTAAAAACGTTTTGTGTTGTGTATTTGATATTTTTTTTAAAATCTGTTTAGTTACATCACGGATGGAAAATGTTTTTTAAAGAATCCATTTGACCAGTTTACCCATTGTCAGTAGATAGCTAAAAACTTTAGCTGTTTTGTGTGAATTTTTCATTTTCAAACAAAATTGCCAAAGTATGTTCCTCAAATGATAAGATAAGCTCAACTTTTTTGTATGTAAGGATTTTTTTATTCCACTTAAGATTTAATTGATGAAATTTAATCAATTTAATATGAAAGCACAAAAAATTCTAAATATTTTTGGTTAAATACAATAAAATTACAAATTTATTTTTAAAAAACGTATTACAGGTTTAAATCCATTTGTTAAATGTCAAATGTTAACCTTCAGAGATGTAAACCATTAGGAAATAGTATTGTTTATTTCAATATCTGAACTCTACAATCATATTATTACTAGTATGTATTATAAATCGTTTCATTATTTTTATTGGTATAAATATAATATATAACATACATAGAAAATTCTAACCACTTGATGCCATGGTTTTGTCTGTTTGTTTGGGCACTCAAGTCTCTTCTACGATGTTTCAGTGATTGTTTCTAATGAATGGAGTGTATAATATATAAATTTTTCAAAGTCGTTTAATGTTTTTCTTTATCTCTCTATAAGTAAATATTTTTTTAGGAGTTTTTTCCGTCCACTTACTCTATGCCTTTTTCTCAAAGTTTCTCTCTCTCACACCCTCATGCTCTTTCACACTTTCTTCTTTATCAATCAGTCTGTGTACCTCTCCGAATATCTCATTCCATATCTATGCATCCATACATCTCTATCTCTGCCAGATTATCTCACAATCCTATTCTATCTCATTCATCCACACGACGCACCTTGGAGACCAAACGCAAAAAAGCGGAAAAATTCATTAACACCCAAGCTATATGAACTAAGTACCCCAAATTTTATACGTTTGGGTTTTGTGGTGCGCTGAATCCAATAAAACTTTTTTCGAATCGGTTGGACCTCATCAATTCATCGAAATTTGTGGTTCAAAATCCAAAAATGGAACAAATATAACTATACTATATATAATCATCATTGGTATATTATTCTATACGCTGAATACAGAGAATCTGTTCTCAAATTGATGGAACACAGCAAACCGTCCAAAATTGTGGTCAAATAACCAAAAATGGAACAAATATAATCAATAATCATCATGGCTATGTTTTTTTATATGTCGAATACAATTCAATGAAACTGTTCTTGAATCGAATGGATCAAACACACCGTCCAAAATTGTGGTCCTAAACGAGGGAAAAAATAATCTGGCGTTGACTCAGAAGGACTCACTTACAATAATTGTATCAGAATAACTATTATTCAACATAACTATAATTCACTGTTGGAAAACGAAGTCTAAATGAGATAAGAACAAATAATGAAAACCTCTATCCTTACAGGAAATTTAATGTTGATCACAAATACAACCATGAAAAAGGCATTAAGTTTCTCTTTCGCAAGAAAATCATCAAAAATATTCCTTTGAGATAACCGAAATGAAGTTTTTGGACGGTTTTCTCAATAAAGATCTCACTAAAAATTATAAAATTGCATTTAAAATAAAAGATGAACTGAAGAGCTTCCTAATGTTCATCTTTTAATTGTTTTTACTATTTCTGGTAAAGTAGTAAACTGGCTTTTGTATATGAAATTATTAAAATTTTGGGTTTGCAAACTTCATAAAATTGCTTATTTTCAAAATTGCAAAAATTAAGAGCTAAAGGCTTTCAGCAGTGAATGATACGATACTGCATTTCTCGGCCTGTGTGAATGGAAAGCAGTTAGAATTGGTATATTGATAGATTACAATGAATTGTTATTCCAAGAATGTATAATAAAAAATGAACTGATACAATATCTATAAACTAACTACTGGTAACTATAGTTATCAACCTACTACACATGTCAACAACTTTTGCACCGCAATGAAACGGTTTGTGTTCCTTTATCGCTTTTTATTAAAGAAAGCGTTTCGTGCTACGATATTTCTGATGTTTGATTTGGATTCTACACATAAGAACAGTAAAAGTTATCCTTCAAAACATAAAGTAGCCACCATAACTATAATTCACTGTTGGAAAACGAAGTCTAAATGAGATAAGAACAAATAATGAAAACCTCTATCCTTACAGGAAATTTAATGTTGATTAATGTTGATTTAATGTTGACCATGAAAAAGGCATTAAGTTTCTTTTTTGCAAGAAAATCGTCAAAAATATTCCTTTGAGATAACCGAAATGAAGCTTTTGGACGGTTTCGAAAATGAATTGCATTTTCGAGATTTTAGGCTAAATAGCTCTATTTCAAAACAGTTCTGCATCAGATAGGCAGGAATACGCAGCTGAAAACCACAGAGATAGTACTTCGATTTGTGTAGAAGCGAAAAAAGAGAGTTCCAAAGCAAAGAACAATGAAGCATTTTTTCTAAACGTCTAAAAAATCAAATATTCCCCGAATTGCTTGTTTCCCTTCTACTAACCCACGCGATTCCATCCCAACGTTGAATTTTTGTCTTATCTCATATTTGGGTGTGTACATAAAAGGTAATTAGGGGGCTAATGTTCAGAAAATAGCTGTATATCATGGAAAATTTATAATTTTCATGTTTCAGCAGTGATTACTGGTTTTGCTCAATTTTTACCCGAGAAACATTTGTTACAGCTTTATTTTCTGGCTCAAATACTGTAAGAAAAGTGAATTAGATTATCAAATTTTCAAATTTTAGGAAATCGATTTTTTGCCGCCTTTGCCACACATTGCGACGCACCATTAGCCCATGCACAAAAACCGTGTGAAACTAATATAAACCAAAAATAAATAAAATAAGAATTTTTTTTTAAATTTAATTTTTTAAGGCAGAGCCAGTCAGGGAACGTTGGCAAGGTTCGTGTCGCTGTCAGTGCTACCACCAGATTAATTTACGCCGGCCCAAAAAACACCACATTCTGAAAATATCCCAGGAATTTATCATGTTACAGTTATAATCAGCGGACCATCAAATCAGGGAAGTAAACAGCACTAATGCATTTGTGAACTGAATTTGGCGCATTCTGGAATAGCATGAGTAAAAAAAAAGTCACTTTGGACAGGTCCTTTCATTTCAGTTTCAAAAAATTAATCAAGATTGTTGTATTTTTAGTTAGTGCATAGGATTGCAGGATTGGACAAAATACTAGCTTTAAAATGTTTAAATAGTTTAAAATTGTATGTATCTTTCATGTAGTATGAAATGGAAGGTTTAATTTAAATTTTACATGTATAATAAATCTGTAAATGAACAAGAAGTTTCTACAGTGACCTCATATTTATGGCACTTGTGATCCCGGGTTCGAATACCTGCATAGGCAATGACAGTTTCATTTTGAATAATGAGAAAGAATAGTCTTAAGTGGTTTGTTTCCTTCGCACAAAAACTTCTAAATTAAATACAATTTTCACACAAAAACTTCACGTATTTCAGGTTTAAACCGATTTGTTCAATGTCGTAAATGTTAACCTACAGACTGGTGAATCTTTAGGAAATAGAATTAATTATGTTAATACCTGAAATCTTCAATAAAATCATTACTAGTATACATCAAAAGTGTTTTATTATTATTTTTGTATAAATAAAATATGTAACGTGGATTCACATTGAAAATCTTAACCACTTGAAGCCTTTGTTTTGTCTGTTTGTTTGAACACTCAGGTCGCTTCTATATTGTTTGTTTAAAAGCACAACTTAAAATAATATAAATTGTTCTTCGTAAAGTTGAAAATATATCCAGTTTTTCTCCAATTGCATATCGACCTAAGATATTTCACACCACCACAAAAAATTATTAACCCGAATCCTCCTAAATACACCCACATCGCTTTAAAGAAAACTTTTGATGGAAAAGTATTTTCTATAATAGTAAACGTTCATATGCAAAGAATCTTGCATTCTCTGTTAACGTGATTTTTTCCTTATTAAAAATTCAGTTTCACAACCGACAGTTTTCCGATTTCCTAGAAAACATTGTTGCATAAGTGATGAGCGCTTTCGTCTTCGCGTTTCTACTATGAAACTTAACCCAAGCATTGTAGGTTTCAGCGGAGGTTACTACATTTAAACCAAAAATTGCTATATTTTTAGACAATTGGCATGCACATCGTGACGAACACAAAAGCGATCACGTACACAATAATATACAAAATTATTCCGAGTTTATTTTTATATTTATTAGCCCCTAATCTCGCCCCAGGGACGTACCATGTAAGGGTGAACCCTGGGGTGGGCGTCTGTACCTCCTGCGACATACGCCCTTGGGGTTTCCATAGGTTTGGAAAAATTTTGAGATTCCGGTACACCAACGGTCGACGAGGGGGTCTGCTCTGTCACCGTGCTCCCTTTGATATCCCTTGCTATTCGCACTAAGTTGGAGCACGGGCTGCTCCATTTGGCGCACTCTAGCATAAGAATCATAAAGATTTACATAATGAAAATAAACAATTGAAAAAAAAAACTGCAATGTTACTCGGCGAAACTAACTACAAACATAAAGTAACTTTTAATATAAAAACAAGACATATAATAATTTCATGACAAATGTTTTATTAATAAAAATGATTGAAAAAAATTTTCGCCTTTCACAGTATTCATTCTTCACTTCCCTGTGCAAAAATCATATCACTGTTTCTGTTTGTCAAGAAGGTTGGTAGATATCATAATTTATTGTATTTAATTTTACTTTTTCCGTAATTTTACTATTGTATTATATAGTAGACAAAAGTATGCAAATGATTGTGCCTCCCTGGACAACACGTCAAGATAGCTCAACAACAGAGCATCAGAGGTTCAAAACGTCCTGCTCTTTGAAGATAAATAAACTGGTAATTCATGATGTTCATAAACATCGGTTAAGTTCCATGAAAATTGCGTTGATGGTTCTAGTATTATAAAATGCCACGATGTTTAAGATTTTCTATCGCACTAACTTATAATCTAACTTACAATTAGTCTGTTCAATTCAATAAATATAAAAATGTAAGTTATTAATATTATTTTTTTAATGGTAGTAATGTATTGTACTGAGGACTAGAAATGTCTTTATTACTCTGAGCCTGACTTAGCTCAGGCTATGCTGACGTCGAATTCTATAGATATGCGATTTTTTAAAACTCTTACATTTTTTTCCGATTTATGACAGTGTAGGAGAGAGGAATGATTCTTTGTTTTTTTGTTTGTGGTGTGTCTCCACTGTCACACACAAACAAAAACAAAGAAATATTTTAAATTTGTTCACATTACCTTAGCTTATCGACTTACTATTTTACGACCCAGGCTATTCTAATCAAGTAAAAAAAATCACTGTGAATAAACTAATGTTTGTTGTTAATTTTTTTAAAACCATAATCTGGAAAATATTGAATTATTTAATATTTATTTTAACGGTTTTGTCTTTAAATAATTAAATATTGGCCTACAAAATTAAGTATAAACCTACAGCGTAAAAAGTGGATTATACTGATCTAATACACTTGTTTTAACGGAATAATTTTTTGACACAAAATCCATTTTATTTACATAAAAGTGCAAAGATTAACAGAGGCCTGGAATAAAATTTGACATTATTGTCTGATGATTTCTGAAAATAATATTCAAATTATTATTCATATAGATTGTTATTATTATTACCTCACACATAAATTGATTACATCGAACATTACAATTAATTAATTAATTAATTGCTAAATACGCCGCTGCTCTACCACTTGAACTATGGTGATTTCAATCCACTCGGACACTAACTTCCCATCTCAACCCAACCTTTGGAAAAATTCGAAAAATTAATTTTATCTCAACCAATACCTTACATAAAGATTAATTAATTGAAAGATGTTATTTGGTCAATCGGACCACGAAATCTAATGAATTTAATAAGTTAAATGAACTATATCGTCTCCGAACTGTCCCACTTGCGATTGCCCTTCAAATCCTTCCCACATAATTTTTGAATGTCCAGAATATTAAAATGAAAGAGACAAACTGCTAAAAAATTTGAGCAAAGTCCAAAACATTTCCAAACCAATAAACTTAGAATCTGTCCTAAAAAGCAACAATCCATCAGCTTTCAACATAATCTATGGATTTCTAAAGTCGATAAACGTTTCTTTTTGATTATCTTCAAGCATGAAAATTTAGAAGATTAGCAGATGATGGAGCTGAATGAGTGGTGCGGGCGCGCGGCGGGGAACTGGCCATGGTCGGCCGATCACGCTCGACAGTAAAATGAAAATAGAAAACTTCAGGGGTAATATGCCAGCGAAAAAAAAAAAAAAAGTACGTTTCATTTGTCGTCGAGAATCAAATAGATTACACAACATTCGAAAAATGGCAAAAAGGAGGGAAAATTCAAAGGTGGGGCTGAGAGGGGAAGTTAGTGTCCGAGTGGGTCGAAGTAACGATAACTCAAGTGGTCAAGCAGCGGCGTATCTAGCCGAAGGTCGTGGGTTCGAATCCCGCTCGTGACGCTGATTTTTTTATCTCAACCAATACCTTACATAAAGATTAATTGATTGAAAGATGTTATTTGGTCACTCGGACCACGAAATCTAATGGAATTATAATTATTGCGCACAGGTTGCCCACAATAGGCAAAAATTTAGGTAGAAAGAGGAAAATTCTTACGATTCCAAAAGAAATAAAAGAAAAAGAATAAAAGTCTCATAAGGATTTATGCCGGTGTACAACATTATTGCAGATTTGACTGTAATTTTTGTTTTTCGATTTTTTCCAGCGATATGTTTTAAAATTTTTCTAAATAAACGATATTTTTTGTATTAGATATTACGCCTTGCTGTTTGGTAAGATCTGTCTAACATTAGAAGTTGGTCAAACACAAACAGCGATAAAAGGTGTTAATTAAATTTATAGGGCCGTTATAAGCAATTTTCGAAAATTACATAAACTTTCATTATACACTAAGACCATAAAGACCATTTCAGGTCATGTTAGATAATGAACACGGTCTAGGGCAAGAATGATTTATTTACCAATTTTTAACGATACCTTTTGTAATATATTTGATATTTTAATGAATTTAACACCCAAACAAGACGCAATAAAAAGTGTAATTTGAAATCACGCGTACAGATTAATCTTGCCCAGGGAACAGTAAACAAATACTTGCCGAGCTTTCGTTTAATTAACAAACGCCCTCAGAGCGCGTACAACAGATAAACGGAAGTGTGTATATATGCTTTCATATTCCATTATTAACATACTGATACGCAAATTTTTGTTATTTCACCCTGCCAGCCCCGGGGTTGTTTACAAATTAAGAGAGCTTAGTTGTACATACTGTTATCTGATTTTGAATGTTGAAAAAAGGACCATAGTTGAATTTGAATTTTATTTTTTACCATAAACAAATCTCGAACCAATATTTACTGTTAGAAATGATAGACATGCCAAAGGTAACAAACTTTCAACATAAGGACGGCACATAAAATCTGTACCCATTTACTGGCATATTCAGGGAATATCTTACCATGTTTATATGTTGCTTGCTTCTTGCGATCCTGCCTCCTAGAACCTTAATCTGCGGTTTAACAGGAAGTTGATATTGCGTTGGCGAGGAAGTAGTCCTGGTTCGTTGGAAGTAACGAGTTGTCGATTCAGAGTCCAGAACGTTTACGTCAGTAAATGTTTCTTTGTAATAACTTTCTGTCGTTGTCTTGTCATCCAAAATTCCTGAGATAAACTGTGAGAATCCGGCAGACAAGGACGATCCTATGGACCGACTGACCAGCTTCAGAGGACATTTGGCCGCCATGAACTGATTGCACTCTAAACAAAGCGGTTTTAACATTCGTGAAGCTTTAGAAACTTTCCACCAGTTTAGTTTTTATATGAGAGGGGTGTAAAGTAAGCGATTTAAGCACAATCATGATGCTGTATACGAATCTCTCAACCTTATACCTACCATGTTCATATTCGCTTTCGGCAAAGCTCTCGTCCCTCCGACTACGAACAATCTCACATCGTCGTCCGCCCAGATGAATTGAGCTCGTACATTTTTATACTCCTTATGGTAATACCTGCACTCTAAACAGCCCCAACTGGGGCACTTTCAGTTTTAATAAGAGCCCTCTCTTTAAATTCGTGTATGCATAAACATATTACATGAAACATAAATTACATTTTTACGTATAACTATTGTATATAAGAATAACCTACGCTATTTTTATACACAACCCGTATTAAGTACAAAAAAATTACTTAATATCGCACAATATGTGTCATTTAAACGATACAAACACAAGTGGATAAATAACATTTAGAATTATTGCCGTGCTATGCTAACAATAATTTTTTTTCGAGAGAAAAATGATAATAGTCACTTTTTTCACTAAAATGATAAAACAGTGCCAAATATTTGTTTGTATGGCGTACTTTGAATAGTTAAATGGGGGAAAAATAATTGTTCCTCTAAATTCCCATTCTAAAATACACATCCATGTGAGAGAAGAGCAGTAATGCATTCATCATGGAAAAAGACTATAACTGTCCATTTTTGTACAAAAAATATTTAATACATGCATCTATTAGGCTGAGTACTGTACTATCGATATCACGAAAGAGAAAGGACTATCAATATATTCCTAAAAACTCATTATAAATTAATAAGCAATGGCAAAAAACGATGGCAGTATGATTCCTAACCTGAAATAACTACAAAAGACCTTCTTTTTAAATAACTTAACATTTGCATATATTAAAAAAAAAAGGCTTGCATATATTGGTATGGGAGGTGTACTATTCATATTTTTAAACAGTAAGAATTATCAATAGATTCATAAAATTTAATGTAAGTATCAATGGAGAAAAACAATGATAATCCAATCTGCTGTTTCGAAAGGACAAAAATATGAGACGAACCTCAACACATTCTTTAGACGATATTTTTTTTCCCACAAGTTTAATTAAATTACCATAATTAAAACTTTTATTTACACTTAAATACTACTTACATGTAACGTCATGTATGACTGTTACCGAAGAAGTAATACCTACTGGAGATATGATTGTTACTGCTCACATTTACAAACCGACAAGCAGCCAGAGGAAGAAGCAGCAGAGTCAACTTTTCAACAAAAGCCATAGTATTTTATGATGAAGTTTTGGTTTCTTTTTATTAAAAATAGAAGACTGTTAAAGAAAATTGATCATTTTACCCGTAGCTTGAATTATTTGTAGTTAGTTGTTAACTTAACAACTTTAAATAAATTACAATTAATTAAAGTTTTTAGTTGAGATAAAAAAAATGTTAATGGAACGAGCGGGATTCGAACCCACGATCTTCGGCTAGATACGCCGTTGCTCTACCACTCGAACATCAACTTCCTATCTCAACCCCACCTTTTGAGTTTTCCCTCCTTTTTGCCATTTTTAATTAACTGTAATGTATTAATTGGTCAAGCGGACCACGAAATTAGTGAATTAAATGAAGTACACTTCACTAAAGCTCTCCGAGGCCATTTCATTTGTCGTCGAGAATCCAATCCGATTACACACATTTGAAAAATGGCAAAAAGGAGGGAAAACTCATAAGGTGGGGTTGAGATGGGGAGATGATGTCCGAGTGGATCGAGGTCACGATAGCTCAAGTGGTAGAGCAGCGGCGTATCTAGCCGAAGATCGTGGATTCGAATCCCGCTCGTGCCATTAACTTTTTTCATCTCAACTAAAAACTTAATTAATTGTAATGTATTAATTGGTCAAGCGGACCACGAAATTAGTGAATTTAATGACTTTAAATAAGGTTATATTTTAAGAAGACCCTAATTTTGTTTCTTATTTGTCTCTCTAGAATGAAACTAAATATTTTATTTCAGCTATAAGAAATTAAATGTGCATAATTATTACAACGAAATATTATTTTATAAAGTTATGCAAACTACCAGGCCATCACCGAAACATCTGTTGTACAATACATTGATTCGATTGTTATTCTATTTCCTCGGCAATTACTTACTGGAATGGCTAGGGTAATATTTAATTTAAAAATGACCAATTATCACGACAATTAATCGAACGAAGCCTCTATTAACTTATTAGATTATCGGATATAACAAACCTCGCGCTCTTCCAAACGTATTACACATATGTGTGGTGATTAGTGACCGTTAATCGATATAAATCGTGAGATGCGGTCTGGTGTGATGGAGGTTTCAGAAAAACATTTTCTTTATCGTGCCAACGTTTCGATCTTTATTGAGCCCTGAAGATGATCTCAATAAAGATCGAAACGTTGGCACGATAAAGAAANTGTACAACGACGGAAAATTTAATTACTCCACACACCTAACAGGAAACAACCACGAACCATCGACAACACTAATGGCACTCTCGACACGACACGCAAGAATGGCACAAGTACACAGAAGACAAATACTTTGAGCCCTGAAGATGACCTCAATAAAGATCGAAACGTTGGCACGATAAAGAAAATGTTTTTCTGAAACCTACATCACACCAGACCGCATCTCACGATTTCTAAATAAATACTACACATAATTTGATAGTCGCGATTATATTTATTTGCATAAACGATTGTACCTCTAGTGCCTTTTCATGTTAAGTATTTTATAATACGGGATAATTCAGAGTTATCATGATATTTTTAGAACTGAGGTCAATTATTTCCTCAACGTCGTATAATTATTTTAGATGTAAGTGATTATGCTGTTTTATCTATTTCGTTGTAGTTGAAGGTATTTCATAGGTATTTATATAGGAACCCTCGAAGAGCCGTTGTTAAAAAAAATTGTAAGTTTGTCGGGCGCAAAGTCAACGCCTAAACTGGCGTGGCCACCGACGCCCCTGTTTTATCTGTTATATCGATTATCTGTGCGTGTTGAACTTATCAACAGATAGCTTGTTTAAAACTTTAAAATGATAAATAAAGTTTTAACTTTTTCAATTTTATTTGTTACTGCATAGGTCAATCGAAATTGTGTATAGTTCCGTTAAAGTTTGTTTTTATTTAGTTTGTAATATTTTCGTGTTGATTTAATGGGTCCTATCTGCTTGTATTCGGTTACCTGTTTTGGAATAATTTGAGAGTGATTTAATGGTTAGATTTCATAAATATTAAAACAGTGTCTCCTGATTTGTATGTGGATTGAACATGTGCGTTTTTGCTTGACTGTAGTCACATCTGTGAATGAAATGTAATTGTAGTTTTGCATGTGGTTATGTAAGTGTATGCAAAATTTAATTATTTTCCTGAATATAAAGCAGAATGCGAATTGTATTGACAGAGTCGTTTTTAGAGGTTCGACAAAGGATTACTATCCAATCTCGCAGTAATTAAATTGATTTTCTCCGGGTGAGGTCAATAAATTACAAGTCATTAAATCGCTCCGTTTACTTTATCCTAGCTCATCTACTTACTATTTTCAGACCTAATCTCATTTATCAAGTTAAAACAATAAAAATTCATTTTGAAGAGACCAATATTTTTATGGGCCATCACTAGTCTGTAATATATGGAATTATACAATATTAATTTTAAAAATTGTATCGTTAATTATTTCATAATCAATTTTGCCTTTAATAAAAATATCACAAATAATCGGGATGACGGTAGGGTTTTGAGGAAAAGCAAATTCAATTGTTACTGCCTAGCTTTGACTTATTTTAAGGTCAATATCTATATTAATTACCCATTATGTATACTTATCTGTAGTTGATTCAACAATCAATGTAACCATCAATTATTCTTTTATCTAAGGCTTTTGGTTTAAATGAAAAATTAGTGTCACGAGCGGGATTCGAACCCATGACTTGCGGCTCAACACGCCGCTGCTCTAACCACTTGAGCTATTAATTCACTAATTTCGTGGTCCGCTTGACGAATTAAATCATTACAATTAATTAAGATATTTAGTTGAGATGAAAAAAAGTTAATGGCACGAGCGGGATTCGAACCCACGATCTTCGGCTAGATACGTCACTGCTCTACCACTTGAGCTATCGTGACCTCGACCCACTCTGACATCAAATTCCTATCTCAACCCCACCTTATGAGTTTTCCCTCCTTTTTTTTTGTTGCCATTTTTCAAATGTCGTGTAATCGGTTTGGATTCTCGACGACAATTGAAATGGCCATTACAATTAATTAAGGTTTTTATTTGAGATGAAAAAAAATGGCAAAAAAAAAAGGAAGGAAAACTCATAAGTTGGGATTTAGATAGGAAGTTGATGTCCGAGTGGATCGAGGTCACGATAGCTCAGGTGGTAGAGCAGCGGCGTATCTAGCCGAAGATCGTTGGTTCGAATCCCGCTCGTGCCATTAACTTTTTTTCATCTCAACTAAAAACCTTAATTAATTGTAATGATTTAATTGGTCAAGCGGACCACGAAATTAGTGAATTTAAAGAATCAATATGAAGTACACTTCACTAAAGCTTTCCGTGGCCATTTCAATTGTCGTCGAGAATCCAAACCGATTACACGACATTTGAAAAATGGCAAAAAAAAAAAAAAAGGAGGGAAAACTCATAAGATGGGGTTCAGACGGGAAGTTAGTGTCCGAGTGGATCGAGGTCACGATAGCTCAAGTGGTAGACCAGGGGCGTATCTAGCCGAAGATCGTGGGCTCGAATCCCGCTAGTGCCATTAACTTTTTTTCATCTCAACTCAAAACCTTAATTAATTGTAATCACTTGAGCTATCTTGACTTCGATCCCCTTGGACATCAACCTCCCATCTCAACCTACAGCCGTTCGAATTTTCCCTCTTTTTTGCCATTTTTCAAATGTCATGTAATCAGGATTCGATAC